CTGGCTTGCCTCTGTGGGTTGCTGGCTTGCCTCTGGGGTCTTCTGGCTTGCCTCTGGGGTCTTCTGGCTTGCCTCTGGGGGCTGCTGGCTTGCCTCTTGGGGTTGCTGGCTTGCCTCTGCGGGCTGCTGGCTTGCTTCTGGAGGCTGCTGGCTTGCTTCTGGAGGTTGTTGGCTTGCTTCTGGAGGTTGCTGGCTTGCCTCTGGGGGCTGCTGACTTGTTTCCGGGGGTTGCTGGTTTGCTTTTGGGGGTTGCTGGCTTGTCTCTGGGGGCTGCTGGCTTCCATCAGCTTTGAGTTCAAAAAGGATGCTGGTCAGTGCCTGCAAAAAAGCAAGGTCAGGAGCTGTGCAGTGCTGGCCTAGAGCCCCCAGCTGCCAGGAAGAAGTGTTGTGAGGTGGACAGTGCAGGAGAACCACAGCCCAGCACACCTATTGTTCCTCCCAAAGCATCCCTCCAATCCTCCCACTTCCACTGCCCTCTGTTGGTACATAGGGCTGTTCATCCTGCACTGTGAGCAGGGAGGCCCTGGTTTCTATGAGGTCTGAGAACTGGCCCATGAGCATGCATTGTCCTCCCCTAGGACCACACAGTGCCTGAGCGGCTCAGGTGCTTGGCTGTGGAGGTGACTGGTGCATGTTTGCTTTTTGTTTCCACTGGTGGGGGTTTCCTTGAAGCTGTGAATCACATCACAGGATCATGACTGGGGTAGGGAGCATGAGGCAGTGAGGGATCAAGCCTTCAGGAAGCTCTTTCTCTTAGGGACCCAGGTATGCACTTTCTACATCTTAGTCCTACCCTTGCTAGGGATGTGGGGAGCACGTATAACATCAAAATATACACTGGGCCAGAGATGAGTTGAGTGCCCCGACCCGACCAAGGCTAGTCCATTTTCTCCCACTCTGAAACACATCTGCCTGGCCCTACTTCTCCTTCTTCCCTCCTGCCAATCCCTTTCCCCCAAAGATCTATCTATGTTCTCTCATTTGTCCCCATTCAGCCCATGGTGACCTCATATACTACCTTTCCAAGTATGAGCTTGGTGTCACTTATTTTGCCCAGTTGTGCCCCAGAGTCCAGCAGAGTGGGAAGCCTGGCCTGGGTGAGCAGGTCCTGCAGGTCGTAGCTGTCCTCCAGCATCAGCTGTGGCATGGTCAGGTGCACAGCCCTGGAGAGAGGACTCAGTTTGAGAAAGTTCCTTAAGGCTCCCACAGGGGGGTTCCAGGCCCAACACGCTGGCCAGTCTCCAGAGGAGGTGCCCAGGAAACACATCTCTAAAGGTACTTTACCCACACACTCAGCTAGGTTTTTCCTAACCCTTAAGAAAACAAATACAATCAAAATTTTTCATGGCCTCAGAAAGATCATGACTGGAATGTACAAAATTTAACAGGGATGATCTCTGTATGACAGATCATGAATAATTATTCTTTGTTTTGTTTTAGATTGGCTGTGTTGGAGATACACTTCTTTGATAACTAAAAAAAAAAAAACCAAACCAACAACAACAAAAAAAGCAACCAACCCCCAAACCAGATATTCTCTAAAATAACTCATTATCTCCTCCAAGCCACTTTTCAATGGGTTTCTGAAGCCACTCAGCAAAGGGATAGGAGCAGGAAGAATTACCTCAGCCATGGTGCTGGGCACAGATCTACACCACTACATGTGACCTCCATACAAAAAAAGTCTACCTCTCCTTCCTTTGGCCCCCCTGGAAACATGAGTGTTTCTAATGACATCCAAATTAAAAAAAAATAAAATAAAAAAATAATTGGTATCTAAAGGCCTTCTCTGATCCCTGTGAGATGTCACAGTGCCTGTCTCAGAAGCAGATTTCTGGGCCTCACTGGCTTTTTCCTCAGAGGTGGACCAGGCTATGCTCTTGTAGAAGGAGACTCATTGGATTTCTTTCACAGAAAGAAAAAGGAGCTCCTGGCAACACCAACTTCACAGCGTGTACAAGCTACACAGGGACTGGGAGTCTGTGAGTCAAAGGGAGCTCCAGTCCCTAGGTTTGCTTCAGAAGTCAGATTCTCCTAGAAAGTCTGTCTCCAGGAAGTTCTTAGAATCCTAAAGATTGTGCATTTATGAGGTGGGACAGACAATAAGATGTGTCTTCTTCTAAAACAAGTGGATACACACTAGCACAGAGAAAGGACAGTTCCATCTCCCCTTGACTTCACCTGCACCCAGAAAGAGAGTAAATTGGGAGATAGATAAAAATATTTTCTATGTGGACACATGTATGGGTGGGTATGTGAATAGATAATTGCAAATGCCATAAAAATGCCTGATTCTAAGCTAAGGTAAGTTAAAGCTGAGTTAAACTACGATGATTATTTCTGTTTTCCATTAACTTTAAAGTGCTTTTCCCCCTCCTGGTGACTCTAAAGTCAGTGGTTTGAAGAGACTCCACTAGCTTTCTACCTTCATTATAGAATTTCTTTTCAAACTAGTAGTAGCCTGTAAACACCATCACTACTTTTCCTGTAGTTTGGGGACGCTAAATTCATTCCTTCCAGACTGCTGCTTCTGGATGTGATACTGCTACATCTGTGCCAGTAAATGTCCCTAAAATAATAAATGGATGGTTTTCAGCTTGACTCCAGTTCAGTGTTTTGGTTCCCCCATGAGCACTTAAACTGAGGATTTCCTTTCTGGATTAGAACCCACACAGATGAGAGGAGGATGACAAATGGGTAGATGAATGGGTGGGTGGATGGATAGTGGGGTGGGTGAATAGATGGATAGATGGGTAGGTGGATGAACACATAGATCTGCTTCAGAAAAGCAATGATAGTGTGTGGGAGTGCTTGGGGCCACCCAGTTTGCACAGTGTCCTCAACTTCCCTTGCTCCATGTAGGAGTGCCATGGTCTCCCACCTTCCATAGGATGGGGAAGCCCTGGGATTCAGAAAGTGTTTGTAAGTGACCATACCGAGGAGCCAAATTCTTCTTGCGGTTCAAGAAGTCAGTCTGGAAAGTGTAGGTCTCCACCTTCTTCAGGTCGGAAGGGTTCTTGGGCTGGATCAGCAGCAGGTAGGTGTACTCGCTGAGGGGCACACGGGTCACTGAGAAGCCGTACCTGGCAACATCCCAGTGCTGGAAGGTGCCAATGCCTGAGAGCATAGGCACGGATACGGTGGTGTTGCTGTCCACCCAGAACTCCTGGGGCTCTGGCAGCAGGGAGAAACCCTTCATCACACCTGCAAATTCAGACAGAGAAGGAAAGTGGAGTTGTTGGGGGCCAAGTTCAAAGGAAGAAATGTTCACAAGTGCAGTTGAGAGTGGGATCAGCTCATAGCTAGATTCTGACTGATGCATGTTTATCTCCCCCATACCATAGCCTAAATTCCTCAAAGAGAAAAATGGGGCTTCTCATGAAGGCAGTTCTCTCACAGAAAGTCAACGGGAGGCCTTGCTACTGCCCCACACATATGATTGATTTTCTCTCTTTACTCCAGCACAGCATGTTCTCAGCCACTTCCTATGTTCTTCAGTACACTATCACCCTGTGTGCACTTCAAGTCCTTTCCTTCAAAACCCAACCACCTTGAATTGAAACAAACAAACAAACAAACAAACAATAATTATTGACAGTTGTTGAATGTAGTGCACAGAACCTGGAGTTTTACGTTTCCCTTCTCTAAGCCTAGTAGAGGAACCCAAAGGCTCTGAGCATTGAAGGAACTTGCCTAACTAGGAACTTACCAGCAAAGCCCATATCCTTTGATTCTGCGCATGCTATCAGCTGTGACTGGCCTACGAGTGGTCATCCAGCTGCCAGTCTGCGTTCTGACAGGGCACATGGCCTGGAATAAAGACCCCACTACTCAGCAGCCTTGCTGCCATGGGCAGATGTGGGACATGGGATTTGAGCACGGGATTTGAAACGCAAAGAGGGGCAGGGAGCTAGGATGGCAGAGTGGGGACAACAGGAGCCCAAGCCCTGTCATAGGAGAGGAGCAGGGCTGCCCCTGCTCAGGCTGGCATGAGGGAAGTAAACCAGCTTTCTGGGGCTTTCCCCACTACAAATCAGGACGTGGCCCATGCCTCAATCACCCTCACCCCCTGAAGTGCTTTCATTTGGAAAGGTCCTTTCTGCCATTTCTTCTGGGAGGACAAGGGGACAATGAGTAGGCCATCAGAGATCAGCTTGTCAGTCTTATTCACCTCGAGTTCTCTCAAGTGAAAGGAGGGAGCAGCCAAGCAAAATAAGTACTCTAGAAAGAAGGAGCTGTACATGTGTGCATTCTCAGGCTCAGATAGTGTGAAAGCAGAATGACAGATTCGGAAAGTGCCAAGTCTCTCCTGAAATTCCCATTGCGGGATCTCAGTGTTGCCCAAGTCTGGGGAGTGGTGGGGGGAATTTGAGTTGAAAAACAAAGACTAAGTCTCTTTCCTCCAGCAAAGCTGTCCATGCCAACAGAGAAGGGCACTGTTGCCATGCCAATAAGGAAGGATACAGTTCCCAGAAGGTGGCCTCTGAAAGGAGGTAACCACTCCTCATTGCTTTTCTGAGGGCATGGTTCTCTTCACAGATCAAATCAATCTCTGAAATCTACTCAACTGATGTTATGGCTGTGAAGAAGGCAGAGGTGTGGACCAAGCGCCCTTCCGTGGCACCAAAAGCGAAGAAGGAAGCCCCTCCCCCTCCCAAAACTGAAGCCAAAGCAAAGGCACTAAAGGCCAAGAAGGCAGTCTTGAAGGGCATCCACAGCCACAAGAAAAAAAAAAAAAAAGAAGAAGACCCACACGTCACCCACCTTCCAGAAGCCTAAGACGCTGAGACTCAGAAGGCAGCTCAAATGCAAGCTTGACCACTATGTCATCATCAAGTTTCCCCTGACCAGAGTCAGCCATGAAGAAGATAGATGATAACAACACACTTGTGTTCATTGTGGATGTCAAGGCCAACAAGCACCAAATTAAACAAGCTGTAAAGAAGCTCTATGACATTGATGTGGCTAAGGTCAACACTTTGATTAGGCCTGATGGAGAGAAGAATGCCTATGTTCAACTTGCTCCTGACTATGATGTTCTGGATGTTGCCAACAAAATTGGGATCATCTAAACGAGTCCAGCTGGCCTCGCCATGAAAAAAAACCCAAAAACCTCCCCAGGATTTGTAGGGGCTGTTTGTGCACATTATTGCCTAAAGGGAACTCAAGCGCCCACGCCCAGCTAATTTCATGGATGGATGGGGGTACAGAGGTATAAAGGACTCTTGAACAGATTCCCAGTAGACAGAGTGCGGGGCAGGGGCAGTTAAGCCGCAGGCACCATTGGAAGATGGGCTAAGTTGGAGGTGAACTGCAGCCTGAGGGTGGGCTACAGTTTCCCACTTTCCACTTCCATTTCTTCTTTTCCAGCTCTGGAGCCACCATCTGGTAGGCCGGCACCTTTGGGAAATGAGACTTCCACCCTGAGCTCTATGCTCTCTGTCGCCTTGGTGTGCTGGGCCCGTTTCTTCACCGACCCTCCTCATGGAGCTCCTCCGACAGAGCAGCCAGGCTCAGCACCCCAAAACCTTCACAGAAAGGATGGTGCCTTCAGTGCTGGCTCATGAGCAAAACCTCAGCCCATCATCTCTCACCTGAGGAGGCTGGAGCTCCTCTTCCTCTGTTGCTCGCAGGCCTCCAAGGGCAGTATCATTGCAGATAATCAACGTTCTACATAACCTCGGGCCCAGCTCTCAGCTTCCTATTTCTCTCTGACCCCAGGTTGCCCATCTTCTAGGTCAGCCTCATCAAGCACTTGCCCTTCAGCCAACTGCCTGTGGACTCCTGATGTGCGTGTCACTGGTACAGTTTGCCTGGTCTGTTGCATAACCTGCAGGCTGCCCTCCCTGCCTCCAGTCCACACACTGCAGGCCACCATAATGGCTGCCAAGCATTACTGTGCCTGTTCAACAGCCTGACCACAAGGAATCCTGAAGTCTCTTGATATCTCAAAGGCTCTCAAAACATGGTCTTTCTAACTACATTCCACTGGTAACCACTTTATGCCTTCCCATTTTCTGTCTTCACCTTAAACTCCATGCCTTCCTCATAACACTGAGAAGCCCTCCTCCTGGCCATAATCTCACCCTGGGTGCCCCACTGAGTCTTCCCCTAAGCCCCTCTCCCTGGTGGCTCTCGGCAATTCATGGAGCTCTTCTAGAACACGTCCACCTGCAGCTTAACACGCAGGCATGCCTGGATCTGTTTGCACACCTTTTCTCCCTTTTCACATTGACAGCGAGCAGAGGCACAGAGCCTACAGACCATTCCACCTTGAGGCGCCTGGTCAGAACCTTACAAGGAATAGAGGTTCAACAACCATTTGTAGAACAAGTGAGCCATCTTTGTAGCACACTTGTTTTCACAATACTTTCAGCATGAAAGTGATTTAAATAAGCAAATAAGTTATCTCATGGGATAGTCAGCCCAGTCCTTGCAAAGTAACCTACATGATCACATGGCTACATATCCTGGCTTCACAAGGGAAGGGATCCTGTCCTATAGGAATTGAACCCTAATTCCATGAGGATGGAGTACTGCCACCCTTAACACCTAAGTCAGGGCTAGAGCAGACCTGAGGACTGCCTTACCTTGGAAGTGGACAAGGGTGTTGAAAAGCAGGGTGCTGTCTGGGCTGAACCCTGCTAGGGGTGGGCTCATTTTCCACCCTGTCACAGCCTGGATGAAGCTCGTGATTTTCTCAGCAGCAAGATCCGGGTTGGACAAGTCTAGAGACCTGAGAAGAGTGACTGAGGCAAAGGGTGCCAGGCCCTGCACGAATGACTCTTTCACTTGCAGATCAGGAGCTGTGAATAGGCCCATAACTGTTGTCAGGAAAAGCTGGGCATTGTCATGCTCCTTGCCCTTGGACACGAGACAGCCCTGGATTGTCTGCAGGATGGAGAAGAGCTTGTGTCCATCCAGACGAGAGGTGCAGCTTTGGTCCTCTGCAGGAACCCCCAGGAATGCCTGCAATTTGCTGGCTGTGGGGTCCAAGGCTCCCAGATAGAAAGAAGCCAGGGTACCAAAGTAAGCAACTGGGGAGAAGACGTGACTCTTGTTCCATGTCTTGCTCAGCCTGCTGTACATGTGGAGGCCCTTCAAGTTGATCAGTATTCCGACTCCCAGGGCCTTCAGCCTGTCTTCTTTCCCCAGATTCTCCACTGCAGAAGCCAGCTGGATCCACAGGGCCTTTTCATCCACAGGGGGTGACTTGACTTGGATTGGAACAGGTGTAACATTCAGCTCTGGAGGTCCCTCCTCATGGGTTTTCTCCAGCTCCTCACAGATGCTCTTGTTGAAGGTGAGGAGGTGGAAGGGATGGATATATACCCGGTCACTGGCAGCTTGGCCAGCCCAGGCCAAGAGGCAGAGGACGATGGCTCCCAGGCTTATGCCAGTACAGGCCATCTCGGATGGAGGCACTCACTCAGTGAACCCTGAAACATCAATTTGTAAAGAGTGATTACTGATGATTATGAAGTGACATTGGCCAAACTTTCTGTTGTCTCAGTATCCCCTGTTCTTCACCCTAGGTGAAGTTTGTCCACTTTTATATGTAACAAAGAGGACAAATGGGTGCAGTTGCTTACCATGATTCACAGCCTTGGAAACCCTGGCTCTATGAGGTAGGTTTACCGTGTCTATAGTCTCTAGGAGTCAGAATTGACTCAATGACAGTGGTTTACTTTCTTTATCTGGAAAGTCCCCAGGAGGGACCCCACAACGCTAGGTCTATAGTTCTTCCCCAGAAAGTCCTGTACGTAGCAGTCAGAGGCCTCTGTAAGGAAGGTAGAGAAGGACTGAGTCCTGCTGGCAGCTTGTGAGACCACTGGACATTAAGGGAATCAGATGCAGAGTTCTTCCTATGTACAGTAGGGCCAGGAAAATCCAGGTTATGTCAGGTCAACCAGGAAATCTGTACTTCATTTATTAGTCACTGTGTGTCATTAGGGAGTGCTGGTGGCATTGTCTTTAGAAAGCTGCCTCTTTTGGCAGCTGGTCACATGGTGAGGGTGGGGGTGAGGGGGCCACTCTAGCTTGTGACCTGTGTCTATAGTCTGGCCCATTATGTCCACCTGCCCGGGTGGATGGCACCTCAGAATTCGGCTCTGTGGCACCAATAACAGGCTGCCCCTGCCTGCCTCCCAGCTTCTAGCCAAGGGCGGGGCCTTTCCTGATTTGAGAATGCCCACCTCTTGCTATGAGCCAGTGGTAGAGATCAGTGTCCATGCCTATGGGGCAGTATACAAGGCTAGTGATCCCCAAAGGACACTTTGTGGCCCTGACGAGTGCGAGAATCCCCAATGGAAAATGTTTTGAAGGGGGCCTTCCTGTCAGCACAGTTTGCAAAGTGGCCTTTCTGAGATGGCTGGAGGCTTTTGAACATCCCAATGTTCTCAGGCTGATAGATGCCTGGTACAGACTGAACTGACTGTGAAACTAAGGTGACTGCAGTGTTTGAACATGTGGATCATGATCTAAGGAAGTATCTAGAGAAAGCACGCCCACCACCCTTGCCAGTGGGTACCATCAAAGATCTTATGTGCCAGTTTCTAAGAGGCTTGATTTCCTCCATGCCAATTACATTATTCATCAGAACATGAAGCCAGAGAACATTCTGGTGACAATGTTCAGGACAGTCAGGCTGGCTGACTTTGGCTTGGCCACAATCTACAGCTGCCAAAGGGCATTTACACCTGTGGTAGTTATACTTTGGTACCAAGCTCTTGGGGTCTTCCTCCAATTTACATATGCAACCCCTGTGGGCATGTGGAGTGCTGGCTGGATCTTTGAAGAGATGTTTCACTGGAAGTCTTTCTTGTATGGAAAATCAGAAGCTGACCAGTTAAGCAAATTTTTTTTTATCTCATTGGGCTTCCTCATCAGAGGAAGACTAGCCTTCAGATATGTGTCTGCCCAAAGAAGCCTTTTCTCCCAGAGGACCACGCCCAGTGCAGTCTGTGGTGCCTGAGGTGGAGGAGTCTGAGCACAGCAGGAAATGCTGACTTTTAAACCACATAAGCAAATTTCTGCCCTCTGAGCCCTACAGCACTCTTACCTGCGGAAGGGAGAAGGTGATCCGGAGAGAGTGGTGGAGTAGCTGGAATAGGACCAAGCCAAAGAATAGAAATTATCATGTCTTGTCTTTGGATGTTTGAGTGGAAAGACTCTCCTCCTTGATAAGGCAATCTCTATTTTGGCCTCTGCCTTCATGCTACGGTCTTGGATACCCTTTCCCCCAACTTTTTACAGAGAATACTCTGCTGCCTTGATGATGTTCTTCTCCTGCCCCTCTTTTTAAGGCATATCCCCCACCCCCTATATCCCTACACTAAGGGATATGTCTGTCTTCCCTTCTGTGACATTTGGTTCATTATTTTATATACAGGTGGGAAAACAAAACAAAGAAATGTGGTCTTTTTTAAAAAAAAAAAGTTGCACTGATAACTGAAAAGATGATTCAAATCCACCGTGGCTTAAGGAGAAGGAGGTCTGTGGTCTTCTCTTTTTGTTTTCAGAAACCCCATGGAAGGTAGCTATGAGAATTAACTAGAATAGCAGTAATCTAAGCAGAATTTGAGTTTCTGTTTTGGAATGTGTCATTTAAAAATGTACAACCAGCCAACATGGAGATGATTCCAACTAATAGCAAACCAGTGTCAGAGTAAAACTTTACTCTGTAGGGTCTTCAAGTCTGTGACCTTTCAGAAGCATTATCTAAGTCCCACTGGTCCACAGGAAAACCCAAGCTTTTCACTCCCAAACATAAACCAGTTCTCAAAGGAGCTGGACATGCTTGCTCTGCCCAGTCCCATTCACAAGTGGGTACAGTGAATGTACAGTGGGTCTGGGTAGATACTTTTTCATCTACATAATCTATTATCATGCAATAAAATATTGTCTTCACTTGAAGCTTTTTCCTTTTCCTTCCAAAAATGTTCGATACCTCACTTGAGGCAGCAAACAAAAACCCAAACCCAAATCTGGTGCCATTGAGTCAAAGTCAGGTTCCTAGGCTATAAGTATTTAAAAAAGATTGTCCATCTTTTCCTGTGGATTTGAACCAAAGACATTGAGTTAGCAGCCCAACATGTAACATATCAACTACACCATCAAAGCAAGTTTAAATATCACAGCTAAGTGTCTGAGCACTTAGCCAGACCTCTACTCATTGGATATAACTTTGGTGCCTCTTATTCTAAGCACTGTGATCTTCGTGGCTTTCTAATAGTCTTTCTATGTGACGAGGGAGCTCTGGTGATCTAGGCCATAGGGTTGTGCTGCTAACCCACTCTCTGGTGGGTTAATCCAGAGGAGAAAGATGTACAGTCTCCTCCTCCCCTGTGATTTATAGCTTTGGAAATCTGGTGGACCAGTTCTGACTTGATAGCAATAACTTTGACCTTTTGACTCTCTACGACAAGGTCATGATCTTTCTAAAAAGTAACAGTTATTATTTTTTTTTTTCATTGTTGAACATTTTCTTCCCCCCTTACCCTCCTCCTCCTAAACCCATATTGCAATGCACCCCTTGTGGACATATATTTGCCTAATCATATAGTCCTTTCAGACAGCTCTTCCCCTCATCTGTTCTAACACAGTGCTCATTATGTATCCTTTCTCTTTTCCCATTCTCTACGCTCTTTTCCTATTCTCTCTTCAACTCCCTCATGTCTGTCCTAGTATAATAGCAGTGTTAGGCAGTGTTTGTCCTTTTCTGACTGAGATATTTCACTAAGCATAATTTTCAAGACAGAAACTGTGGCTTGTGTTCAGTTATGGTCATCATAACTGACATAGTCCTTAAATTGGCTCTAAGTCAACTAGCAGCAGTGTCTAGAAACAATTAGGTACTTCAGGCAGGGTGAACACTCTACTTGCCACCCTGATCCAGCCTGTCTTTTCCCTTCCTTTTTTCCTTGGTTCTTCCTTTTCAGCACCATCACCAGTTCTGTTTTCCTACCTCTATGGATCTGTAGTCTAATGATAATGAAATAAAAGAAGCAAACTATGTACTGCTTATGACCAGTGCATTTAGTTTCCTCTGCTTTCTTCCATTAGAATGTAAGCTGCAGGAAGTAGTAACTCTTGCCTTTTGTTTGTTTTGTCCACTGATACCCTGTTTTCGGAAATAACACCTGGAACATCAGAAAACTCAAGAAAGTCACTGCTGCAGAGTTGGATGGAACCAACTGGTAGCAGACCCTCTAGCAGGTTTTTATGATTGCAGTAACACACTGGAGATTGTTCACCTCAACAGAATCGCTGGTAGATTCAAAGCACCAGCGAGGTGCAACCAAGCCACCAGAGCTCCCTAGGGACATAGGAGGTATTCAGTAAATCCCGGCTAAGCGGAATCACTGGTGCTGTTTGTCAGGGTAGAGAAGTTACTAAGCCAAGAGACAGAACCAGGAATCAAGCCATACTTTCTGCACCAATTTATACGGTCTCTTAAAAAAAATTGTAGAGATTTGCATTTTTCATTCTAAATGAACTCTCATGTTCTTTCCGCTCTCTAACATTAGTCCCATGTGCGAGAGAGGCCAAGTACTAGAGTTAATCCTATTTACAGAGTAGTACATTGAAGCTCAGCGACTCAGAGCAGGAGCTGAGGACCACAGACTACACTGCCCAGGGGGCTGCAGGGAGATGTACTCGCACCTCACCCGGTGGGCTGCCGTGACACTCACCTAAAGTCCCAGACCCCTTCAGAGTTCCCTGTTACCGTGTAAGAGCAGGTGGGGCGGCAGCAAGGAGGACAGCCATGACCGGGGGCTCCCCAGCAACGATCCTGCAGGCCACGGCTCCTCGCTGGCCCCTCACTCTGCTCCGCGTTGGTTCAGCTGTCCGGCCTCCCCTCCCGACCACCCTTCCAGGGCCAGATGAGAAAGGGTTGAGGACTCAGACAAGAGCGGGGCCCAGGGAAGGAGCGCGCACTTACCTATCTCCCTGAGTGGTCCCAGATCAGGGTGGCTGCTCCGGCTGTGTCCGAGGCAGGACTGCTGGTCCTCGAGCGTAGGGGCTGGGGTAGTGGGTGGGATTGGTCACGTGGCCCAGGCGAGGGGGAGGGGCCGCAGCCACACGAGCTGGACCCTGTCCGGGAAGCCGTGATGACCGATGTCCAGGCTGCTGCTGGACAGAACGCGCTGTTCAGGGCCCCGCGCCCTGGCGCCGCGCGGAGGGCCCACCAGCCGAGGGGAAGCGGGGGAGGTGGGGCCGCCTCAGTGAGAAAGGCCTGCAGAAGGGGTCTGCTGAGGTGTTCTTGGTCCAACTCTGAAAGGAGGCAAGCTAGCTAGCCTTCCTTGAACAGCTCCCTTCCAGGGGCAGCTGGCAAAAGCTACAGTCCTCACTTCACTGTGCAAAGGACAGCTTTCTGGGGTCCTGCTAGTCACCTCACCGCTCCCCTACCCCCCCGAAAATGGGGCATATAGATGTGTCTGTCCCCCAAGCTCCTGCTTTTCATGCTACATTTATTAATTGATTCCACAAATATATATGACATTGACTGTGTTACAGCAATAGGGACATAGAAAGCGTGATGCCTGTGTGAAAGAACACTTTTCTGAGAAGGCCACATTTGAACACGACTTGAAATCTTCCAGTGTCCGTGAAGAGCAGTCCAGTTAGAAGGCACAGATGAGAAAGGTGGTCTGTATGTGTCTGTGTGATTGCTTCCTGCCAAACACACACACAGGCACGCACATACACCCTCATGAACACATTCAGATACAGATACACATACACACTTATTTCTCATAGTCTTGTACAGGCACACTTATACACATTCACACATCCTCACATACACACTCAGATACATGCACACGCACACTTAAACACAAGCACACATCTCACACACGCTCAGATATATGCACACACATACATGTAGCATAATACACACCCTTGCATATACACACATACATGCATATTTAAATACACATGCACTGTCACTCATACACACACTCTCACACATAACTTCTCATAGATAGTTGAGGAAAAGAGGATATATCAATATAATAAAAGTTTTTATCTGACAGGATTATTTTAAAAAATTAAAATCCATTTTAAA